AGGAACTGAAAGGGAATAACATAAAATGGGCAACAAGATACTGAGCTCCAATAGGATCATTATTCTATTTTTAGAAGTTTTACACAGATTTCAGTAGCTGTGGAAGTGCTCCAGTTTCTGCTGAAGCAAGATGAGAGAGCCAAGCCTTTTACTTTGTATGTTCTTTTCCTCAAAGGATGCTGTGCATCTTTCAGGTGTTTTCAGGATAACACAGATGACATTTGGTTATATTGGATTTCTTCAGAGGTTTCTCTATGGTTACCACTTTGTCTCTGTGCAGAGATACTCAGGCAGCTCAAAATGGTCACCTTGGCATAATGGGTCATGCTGCAAGGTATGGTACAGACCATATCCCCAAAGAAGAGGGTCCTATCCTGTCCTCACTGCAGTGCTTTCTGTACATTTTGTCTAGCCATTTCAGATAGTAAATAATTTCTTGTTCTTCATGCAGACAGGACTAAGGATGAAGAATGTACAGGCAAGACACATTGGAAAAAGATATAATTTATAAGAAATGAGGAGAACTTGTCAAAATTAATATCTTTTCCTAGGCTGTAAATGACAAGAGGAACAATTTTTCCAGCATAAAATGCGTTCAAAAAAAAAAGCACATACATCTTGAAGCAATATCTTACCAGCTGAAAAGTGGGAGACTTAAGATACCTCAGCCAGTTATAGGAGAGAAGAAAATCACAGATTCCAACCATATCAAGGTCTTAAAATGCCTGGAGTTAAATTAGCAAAACAAAGAAATTAGTGAATGTGTTGCCACAGAAGGATGAAGGGTAGAACATAAGGAGGTGCTATGAAACCTCTACTAGTCAAACATATCTTGTAGAGTATTTAAGACCTGAAGATCATTTTCTCTGACCTCTTTTATATCACAAGCAGCTGAAATACTCTCAGTTACCTAATATACAGATAATACTTGTCTTTTACTAAAATACAACTTTCAGAAGTGATTTGAAGTCATCAACCAGAAAAAGAAGCACCACCTCTTTTCTGTCTACTGTTTGTCAGTGGATCGTCTTCCTTGCAGTTAAATGTTTCTGCCTAATTTATCTTTCAAATTTCTCTGGTTCTTGTCACAACTTCAGTCTGTATTCTAACTATGGCTTCAGTTCTTTGAGCTTCTTTGTTGTATAATATTGCTACTACTTACCTATTTCCATCTTTGCAAAATACCTTAATAGTAAAGAAACATTGCCCTTCAATATTTATTATTCCTGCTCTTACAAATCTAAGAAAACAGCAGCATTCATCTGCTGATCATAGCATAAATGTGGTAGTAACCATTTAAATAGTTACTCTTGATAAAAAAAAATATAGTCCTGATTCTAATTTACATTATTATTATTAAACAAAGTGATGATAGGGTACATGTAAACCAAACCCACATTTTACCAGTAATTGGTAATTACATGGTACTGAATATTTCTTATGTAATAATTATGTAATCATCATGTTATTCCTTGGATGTAAATTTTATTCAGTTGTTTCTTGACACTGCATCAATCTTTATAATAATAATGTAAGAGCTTTAAATTTAAAATAAATTCCTTTTCGTTTTTCTTTTTTTTTCATAGTAAACCTTCCCTAGTACTTAACAACACATAATGACTGCTTTGGAGTCACTATGGTCTGTAGAGAGATTAATATACATTTTTTAAATTATGTAAAGTAAGTATTTAATAGTGAGATATGAACATCAAATTAGTTGGTAATAACACTTGCTCAAGCATTCCCTTTTTTGCTGTTATTTTATTAATCATACTGAAATATCTTAAATTTGCAAATGATGGCTAGGAAAAAAAAAATCATAAAAAGAGATTTTTAAAAATGCACTTCCTTTCCAATTTGATAGGATGTAGACAGTTTAGTTACTCATATTGTATTTGGGAACTTTACAGCTTAGTTTCCACAACCTGGAGGCATACAGACACAGGTGAAAAGAAAGTCTTATAGTTTCGTTAGCTTCTTTGTTTTAGATCATTTTCTGTACTTTAAACATCGTGAGAATCTGGCCTACGACTTTGCTATTTTTTTTCTGCAGTGCATTTCCTGAAACAATATAATACTCAGATGCATTGTAGTTATCTCCAAATATGAACATGAATTATTATCTAGGATCAGCACTAAAAACATACAGTTGAAGGGAATTTGAAAATTATACTTCGTGAATTATCTGATTTGAGGTGAAGTTCTATTACCATGTGAAGCTGATGTCCTGCCCTTTCTGTATCTGTCAATAGAAAGTTTTGAAGCATCTAAGATCTTCAGCTTTTCTCCAGAATATTATAATTTGCCACATTTTTGTTCTATCAGTTATGAAAAAAAACCCAGCGCTCAAAGAAATGGATTTAAGAGTGCTCTTCCCCCAAGTTTACCTGTGCTCTGATGACATTCTTTTGTAGAAAACCTGTCCTCTGGAGGCTAACTTTTAACGTGTAACATCCCTGTTAATGATATTTTTCTTAAAATACCAGTCTCAACCAACGTTTTGAAACATTTCTATCTCAGACAAGAAGAATAAATTCATGAAAAAAAAGTGCATTTTGTCCATCTCCCCCAAGTTTGCCACAGCTTTTTGAATAAAAAATAGGTAGAATTTATTACTGTGGACCTAAGAAAAGAATATTTTTACTGGGCCTTTTCCCAGGCATGGCTAATTTTTATGGCTAAAACAAGTAAGAACAGAAAATGCAATGCCTGAATCAAAGTGCGCAGATAGGTTCAAATTATGGGTAGGTGCCCACCATAGGAATTACCATCTAAGTGATTGATGTTGCTCAGTTTTAACTAAACTAAAACCAAGGTCTTGTGATGACAAGTATCAGCCAATTTTAGTAATGTGTCTGATTGCTCTGTACCCCTAATTTGCAGTCAGTCAGTGACCTAACAAACCTTAAGAACTCAATTTGAAAGGGTTATTTCTAAGAAAAAACAGGTATTGTGGACAAGCAAGAATTGTAATTCATACCGAGGTGGCCCTGGGATAAACGCAGGCCTGATTAGTGAGCGGTTGCCTGGCTCACCTCAGCATGGGTGGAAGGTCTACCCCACAAGCGCACATTGCAGAAAGGACTTGGGGGTTCGGATAGGGGAGAGGAGGGCTGGGCACAGTTGTTGCTCGGCAGCACATCTGAGGGGAACGTGTAAAGACAGCTTTTGTCTATTGTGCTACCTTTTCAAACGGAGTCGATAATGCCAGTGTCGGTTTCAAGCGAAGCGTGTGCCAGATTACAGATAGCTAGCAATGGCATTTGAGAGCCGTTAATTGTGAAACTTGAGAAGAAAATGTGCACATTCTTTTTCAGAGTGCTATTCGAATGATGGCCTTTTTATCCCAGAACACTGTGGGTTTCACTTTTATTCTCTTCCCACATAAAATGCATGAAGTGCGCCGAGTCTCTTTCACTTGGCAGCTTATATATTGCATTCTTTGCAGGGACAGCTTTGGCTTGTTAAAATGTACCCCATGTATTAAAATGAAATTGTCGCTGCTGTGTGGTGCAACATAACGTGGTTTGACACTAAGCGCCTGCAGCTACAGAAAACAGACTTTTATTGGATTTATTCTTTCAGAGACAAGAGCCTCTAAAGGCTCAGCACAGACATTCGCTTAGTTAAATCTGAATGAAGCCAAAGTGAGCAATCTAAGTTGCTGTCTTTGTGCTTGTAGAAATGGCCCAGCCCACATGATATGAAGTGATACAACCTGGAAGGAACAATTTTTAATGATTTCACATAAAACAAAGTGGCAAAAGACTTTTAACTGCCTCAGAGAATTAATCAGGCAATCTGGATTTTTTTTTTGTTCTTTTATTTCATGTTGGTGAGGTGGTCCTTTGGACTATGTCAAACTTGTATCCTGGCAGACAAACTGCTGCTTTGAACTCTATGTGAGCTACTCTATGTGACAGGAAGGGTGGTGCATAAATTAATTTCAAAAAGATCTAGACTGGTGAGAAGTAAGTCAGTGGAATTATTTTGCAGTACCTGAAGGTAAGAGCTGGTGTACTGAAGGAGCATTGAACATGTTTTTTAAACAAAATTTTTCCTAAGAAAAAGAAGCTTTATGAATTTTCTTTTTGCTTGCTTATTAGATTTGCATTTTTCTTTTTCTTCTCTTCAAAGTTTCTATACCAAATCTGTAGCAAACTGATCTGTGCTTTGGATTACTCTACAGCTGGTTTACAAGACCTGTAAGAATGGCGAATTCCCAAATGCGATATAACCATGGTTTGGGCTTTGACTAGTATTTTTGTATTCTTTACAGTTCCTTCAATTATATCTGCACCAATTCACTGTTAGTGCTTTAGTGTCTTAAGTCTAAAGTTATCTTGGAGCCATATGAGATGAACAGTAATGCATTTCACCTTACATGCAAGTTACAGTTTTCACCCAAAATTTGACTTTATGTTGTAATAGGCACATTTGCATTGTCTTCTGTTTTTCTGTGCAGTCTGTGTTTGCAGGTTATATTTTTAACATTACAATCCTTAATAATTGTTGCTTAATCCTCCAGCTTCTTCTCCAAATCTTGTTTTGTTTTCTTGTTGTGGTTTGCTTTGTTGTTTGTTTTTGGTTTTTTTTTTCCCCCATGCAATTTGGAGTTGTTTTGGGTGCACAAGGAGTCTAGAAATGCGTTCTTTGCCTTTCTGAGCAGCATGTGAGAGCATAAAGAACGTCCTTGTTCAGGGTGATCCCCTGGAGCCAAAAGGGGACGTGTTCCTTGACACTGCTGCAGCTCACACACAGCCGGGAGCGCACCTGCAGGCTTTGAGGGTAGCAGGTCCTCCTCGCAAGTCACACTGTACTGTAATGAGCTCAACCAGTTTCTCTGCAGAAATCAGCACAAACAGCTTTGCAGATTTCTCTGAGCATCTGTGCTTGTCCTTTTTCTCTCCTTTTGCATTTTGATTTTGCTGACTGAGCGCTTTCATAACAGTCTAGTAACATTTATTGCCTCTACCCCCATCCCACTCTCTTCTCTTTTCCAGAATGGAGTCTACAGAAAAATGTGAAGTAGTAATTCAACATTTTAATGGCAAATATCTGAAAACCCCACCCGGTCTACCAGGTAAGTCTAGCCATCATTATGAAATCTAAAATTCGCTTAAGAATTTAGAATACAGAAATGCTGGTATTTGTGTTGAGAGTGGCTTATATTACTGGCCCTCCTAAGAGGGTGTATGACATCCCTGGCTGAAACCTATCCTTTATGACCCATAGCAACTTCTTCCTTGCCAAAGTTTGTATTATTCGAGCATTTATGTTTGACAGCAGTAAAATTAATTACCTATAAACATCACATTGTCTTACTGTGTCTTTTCCTTTTAAATGCAAATATTGTTCATGATTTTTTACCAAGTAGAACAAAGCCATAAAAGTAAATGCTGGTGCTTTTCTAACAAGCTAGGTATATAACTAGATCAACAGCTGTGTTATAGGTTATAAAATAGCCAGGATTTCAGCTTGTAGTAACTTTGTATTCTTTACAGTTACTAGTTAGTGTTACTTGTTACAGTAACTGAGGATATTTCAAGGAATACAGGAAGGATTAAGAAGGATATAGGAAGTGATCTTATACCATTTGTAGTTTAACTTAATTAAATCCTGCTATTTTCTGACAATAGCAGTAGGAGACATTCATTGGTGTGTCCATGCCACATGGAAAGCCAAGTTCCCTCCAGTATCTTGCTTTTGAAATCTTCAGCTGTCATCTATGTGGCCATCAGCTGTGCCAGTTTAGTGATCAGTTGCCTGATTCTTAGTGCTTGACAAGAACTCCCCGAGGCCACAAATCTGCAAAGATTTCTCCCTCAGATTTCTGAAAAGGTACCTTCAATGAGAAGGAAATCTTTGCAAGTACTGTGTCCTAAGTTTTTTGTTTTTTGTTTTTTTTTTTTCTTTATAACATCCATTTAACTATTTCCTTTTTTGGTACTTTCATTAAATTCCCCCTTATTCATTGCCTGATTCTTTAGGCAGAAGATGCACTAAATACTCTAATTAAAAGAGAGCCATCTGCACAGCTACTGTGTACAGTAATTGAATGCTGCAATATACATATAAATTTTAGTCAGATCACCTTCATGAAAGGGTATAAAACTTTTAGTGCAAGCTGGAGGACTCCATGAATTTCTTTTTCAAAAGTAGTCACTGAGAATTTCTCTCAACACCAACTAGGGAAGCACACCACCAACTTCATGAAGTACAACAGACTTGGCTTGCATAGAACAGTGGGCAAAGCAACATAGGCAGAAACCTTAAGCCCTAGCCATTCCTTTCTGTATGCATACATTGAGTTCCAGTAGTAATCTGTTTAATATCATAGCAACACCCAATGGAAAGA